TCTCTCTCTCTCTCTCTCTCTCTCTCTCTCTCTCTCTCATTTCCCTTTGTATTAAGTATCCCTTCTTATGTTATGTATCAGGTTTATCCAATATGTTACACTTGCTCATAAAGTGGATATAAGAAAACATTTTTTGAAAGTTCAAAAGCATTCTCCACTTGAACACTGACTAAGCTCTTGTCCCGTTCATGACTCTGTATTTACAATGAGCTTCATTTAGATTTCCACAACTGCCAGTCCTTTGGTGGGGGCAGGGAGCTGGGGACCTCAGAAGAGCTTCCTGGGACAGATTCCGAAAACATGAGTCCAGATCAATGACATCTTTTGTGGCTCAGAACCGTATCTGCACTGAATGCTAGACTAGCATTTATCTGTGTCCTGGCTAACTGCTGATTTCCATGTTTAAAATACGATGCAAGTAGTAAACCGCAGCATTTTGGGTGGGTGGGGATAAACCCGGGTCAGGCAAAGCAGTCCAGGTTGTGAGCAACTTGCTCATTGAGTGTCCTGGATTTGCTACAATGGCAAACAAACAAAACAAAAACAAAAACCCACCAAAACAACAACACCCAAAATACAAAAAAAAAAAAAAAGTTCCGTTGGAATGCTGCAAACATTGGCTGGGGCTCCTGAAGGCAAAGTTTGTGTGGGCCAGTCTCCCTCTGATTTACTTTCTTGCATCTACAGCAAAATAAAGGACTGGGGCAGGGTGAGACGGAAAGGCTGCCACCCGGCTTGTAAATTTCTGTTTACCTGGTGACTGGCGAGGGCAGGGCTTTGGGCTCCTGGGTCCAGAAGAGCTGCAGGGCTGAGAGTTCAAATAGCGACTGGCCCCGGGCTGCTGCCCTTCACTGCCGCCGCTGCTTCTGAGATCCCATTGGAAAACCCCAGGGGCCGGAGAGTCCAAGGCCAATGTTATGTTTCCAAGACAGTATTCCTCCCCGGCTCGCACCTCCCTTTGCTTGCGTTGACTCTGCAGCAGCTCCGGTTTCTCCACCCCTGGGCGAAGCAGCTGGGGATCCAGGCGGTGCGCTGGCGGCCCCTGAAACCACTTCCAGATGTGCTGGCAGGCCAGCTGGGATGGGCCTGCCTTCCCCTGGAATCCCAGTCCGGGAGCCTGCGTGCATTTCAAAAACAGGACTGCTCTGGAGGGAAAGAGGAGAGACCAAGGAAAAGCAAATGCCCGGAAGGTGAATTTCTACCACATGTTGGGTCCAGCAGAAGAGGAAAATAAAGTTCATAGTGATTTTAAGAATATCTCTGTAGGCACTAGCTTCTCCTGAAATCTAGTGATTAAAATGCTGTTGTCCCCCCTCCTTCCCAAAGCGGCCAGAGGTGACCTCTGAAAATGGTTCTATTCACTCTGACCCAGAAAACCCCACAAAATCATGCCAATCAAGAGGCTCAAATCTTAGTGTTCACTTTCAGAACACTCGTGAAACTGCCCAGGCCATCAAGGGTATGACTATTCGAAAAGCCGCCAAGTATCTGAAGGATGTCCCTTTACAGAGCAATGTGTGCCATTCCGTCGTGCCAATGGTGGAGTTGGTAGGTGTGCCCAGGTCAAACAGTGGGGCTGGACGCTGAATTTTTGCTGCACTTGCTTAAAAAATGCAGGGAGTAAAGCTGACCTAAAGGGCTTAGATGTAGACTCTCTGGTCATTGCGCACATTCAGGTGAACAAAGGTCCCAAGATGCAGCGCAGAACGTACCGAGCTCACGGGCGGATTAACCCACACACGAGCTCTCACTGCCACATTGACCCCTCACGGAAAAACAGCAGATTGCTCCTAAACCGGGAGAGGAGGTTGCACAGAAGTAAAAGCTATCCCAGAAGAAACAAAAAATTATGGCCTGGAAGTAAATTCAGCATAAAAAAATACTAATAAAAGTAATACAAAAATGCTGTTGTCCCAAATTAAAGCCCAGATAACAATTGTGGTCTCATTCTACCAGGGCAACAATAAGCGACAGACGTACCAAGAGGGTGTGTTTTGTGCCTGAACATGGAAAGGAATCAACCCCACCCCGTGCTGTGCTGTTCTGAGTTTCTGTCTCTGATTCTCTGAAACCCAGGAAATGGTGCCAGCAGTTTGCCTGGGATCGTGGGCCTTAGGACTCTTTCTGCAATGGCCTCTCCCCCTAGTTCCTGTAAGGAAAGGAGTACCCACCCCTCATACCTCCTTCTGCAGTGGTGTTGCTGGAGAGAAGTTAGATGCAAGTCACACTGTAATTTTAAATTTTCTAGTAGTCACTTTAGGAAACGCACAAAGAGGGAAAATTAATTTTAACGATACATTTCATTTAACCCAATATGTACAAAATAGTATTCCAACTTGTAATCCATAGAAAACATTATAAACCACACATTTTATGTTTTGGGGGTACTAGGTATTTAAATCTGGTGTATACTTTACACTTGCAGCACTCCTCAGTCTAAACACTAAATCTCATCAGAAACAATTGATTTCATAAAATGCATAGTTTAAAAACCATAGAGGGGATAAATGGTGGTGAAATAAATAAATAATAAAAGTAAATTCACAGACCCAAGTTGTTCCAATCATTTAAAAAAAAAAAAGTTTTCCAATGACTGAATCCAGTATCTTTTTTTTTCAATTTCAATGAATTAAAACTAAATAAAATTTAAAATTCAGTTCCTCAGTCGCACTAGTCACATTTTAAGAAGAATTAATAGCTAATGTGGCTAGTGTCTACTATACTGAATGAACAGTAATTGTAAGAAAAACGATTTCGTGGGTTGTTGTTTTTTCAGACTTGAACTTGAAGAGGGGGGATATCCTGAATTTGTACAGAACTTTTAAAGGGCAAAGTGTTTTCATATCTTCTACTTTATTCTCACAACATTCCTGTCAAGTAAGTTGAACAGCTGTGTTTTGCCCCAATTTGCAGCTGAGCAAACTGAGGCTTTGAACAAGTTAAACTCCAAGTTCCCAAAGCAAATTAGTGATGAAGCCAGGACTGGAATTCCTGTTCAGCATTTCTCAACTGTTTCTTACTGGAGGCATATTTCAGATACTGGGGTTTCTGACAGCAACCCTAGAGTTCAATTGCATCCATAGTGATTGCATTCTTCACTTGGTCTCTGCCGGAAGCCAGTCCATCCTTGCTGCTTGACACAGTTGCTGCAGGGAAGAAACATCTGCACAGCATATGTTTCAAGGGACCTGGCGTATATGGCATACTGTTCTTAATATGTTTGCTCCCCTTCTTGGCACTATGTGTTTTAACCAAGGTCACCTCTCCGAGAAAGGTTGTTTCCTCAGGTAGGGATTTTTCCCTGAAGTTAGGGAGGGAATAAAACCCCTTAACTAAATGCCAGGCGGGTAGTTAATCACTTTAACTACGAACAATCACCCTTAAGCTACATAATCTTTACTCCCTGGAATGGAGATAAGAAATGCCCTAACCTTTGGAATAGAAATTGACAGGAATAAAATCAACTGGTATAAATACAGATGTAACAAGACAATAAAAGACAGAACCTGGCTGGAGAACCTAGTGAGAGAACATGGCTAGAGAACCTGGCTACAGAACCTGGCTATGATGATCACCTGAACGCTGTCTCCGTGTCATTCCTTCTTCGCCGACTCCGTCCACACCTTTGGGGACCCCTGGACCTGCTGGGGTTGGACCCCAACAGGTCTCTCTGCAGCATCAGGTCACTGCTTGTATAGAATTATTGTCTGTCCTGGTGGTGTTCCCTTTTGTATTCTCATCCCAAAGCCCTCCTACAATCCAGCAAGCATGTCATTTTTCTTTGGACCTGGCTTGACATTCTTTTAGTCCTCTTCTTTCTTGACTGCCAGCAAGGTGTACTCTTTTTAAAAAATCCTATTTTTATTGATTTTAGAGAGAGAGGAAGAGAAAGGGAGAGAGAGAGAGACCAACATCAATGTGAGAGAGAAACATTGATCGGTTGCCATTGCCTCCCATATGTACCCTGACCAGGTATCAAACCTGCAACCTGGGCATGTGCCCTCAGTGGGAATAGAACCCAGGACTTTTTGGTGTACAGGACTATGCTCCCACCAATCAAGCCACACAGGCCAGGATGGTGTACTTGTACTCTGTTTTAAACCACAACTCTAGTCAATGCTTTAGCTAACAGACATGGTTGTAAGATATTTATCTCTAGTTGGGGCAAAAGCATTTTTATACACTGGTCTTGTGGGAAGTCAGAAGGTTCAGTTGCAGCACAGGGTACTGTGCACTAAGTACTCTTGTTCCAGTCCGCACTGCACCCACATGAGCAAAAATAGCATCAACATTTCCTTGCCCAGGGCTTGCCACCGCTCTTCCAGAATTGTGTGCTGTCAGGAGCAGCAGGCCGGTCTCTCCAACACTCTAAGCGACCTCCTGACATTCCTGTTTCCTCCGAAGATAGTGTTTTCTCCTGTGTATCTCTCATCCACCTGTCAGGATGCCTGACCCAGTGTAAGAGCTCCTGAATAAGTGAGTTCAGAGAGGAGGACAACCAAAGCACTCAAGAGGAGGACTCGGAATTGGAATAATAATTATGTGGTTTTTGTAGACCCTGCTTACTATTCAAATTAACTTCTATGTGGACCCAAATCTCTCTGGTCATTGATCCTCGTACACTTTCTTGCTGACCCCCTGCCGTCTCCAACTTCAGATTCTTTCTCCTTTATTTCTGCTGGGCAATGTCCTGAGGATGCAAGAGGTGCATTATCCATGACCTAGATTTCTACACTGTATGTACATATTCTTCCCTGGGGAAGAAATGAGGACAGAGAGAGACACGGGGTATAAGTGCAGTGGCTACCAGCATGGGCTCCGGAGACAGACAGACCTAGGTGCTAGCTCAAGCCTTATATGTATGTGTTACTAAAAATCTCACTTCAGTTTCTCATCTACAGTATAAAGTAGGGAAGCCTCATAGGCCCCTCATAGGACCCTGGTAGGGTTAAAAGGCATCATGCATGTAAAACTCTCATCAAGGACTCAAAACATGGAGGTTATTACTGTTGTTGTCTGGAGAAACCCAAGGTATGAACAAGGGAAATGAAGTGTAACAGTAACATATTTGGAACAATAACAACAACAACAAAAATCCAAGTGAGTCAGTTATACGATGTTGCAAACACTGCTGGTAGCCTACTTAATAACCTTCTCTGCTTCCTCCCTTCAAATAGAAACACTATCTTTTGGGGCAGAAGGTGCCTGCTAAGGATTAACAATAGTCGTCTTCTCAGACATCCTAAGCTAGAGTGTCTGTGAGCAGAGCGGCTGTCTGACTTCCTAGAAAGCTACATTTTCCTGGCAGAGAGCGTGTGGTACCTTTTGCCCTTTCTTCCTGTCTGAAATCCAACTTTGATGCCTGGAGGTGGAGGAGCATCTTGCAGCTCTGAGGATCAAGGTCCACGCTGGGCTGCTGCATATGGTCACAGTGGCTGTGCATGGAGCCTGCAGTGTCGAGTCAGCGAGGGGCCTGGCAGGACACAGATGGCTCAATCCAATAGGCTAGTGGTGGAGATTTTGAAAAAAAAAAAAAGGCTATTTGAAGTGTGTAGTCAGGGGTGTTAGGGAAATGTGGTTAAGAGATGGTTCGGTAGCCTGGGGTTAGAAAATGCAGGGAGCCATCACCGCCCCTGGCCCTGAAGGATGAGGGAAGGGAGTAGTTAGCAGGACTACGAGGAAAAAGTTGCATTAACAGGGCAGCCCAATAGTGGCAGCCTGTGCTGACCCACAGAGAAGGGACTAGGGGGCTAATTCCTCCAATCTCCTCTTGGTGGTACCTCCCATCAGCCAAACCCAAATGGAAGTCAGAGGGCAAGGGAGCTCAAGTGATGTAATCCACTTCTGTCAGCCTCTCAGGGCACTGAACAGGTTGAAGAGTGGAGGGTTGATCTGTATAAGCAAACAGAAAATATCCTTGCACAGGGTGGCCAGCAGCCTTGCACGTGTTTATAGGGCAGAGCAAGGACAACGGAGGAGCCCGAGTCCCTGGTGGCATCGGGAGCCACCCGGCAGCTCTGAACTAACTACTTAGGACACATCTTGCTAAATGAGGAAAAGAAGCCCTCTGTGCTAAGTCACTTTGGTCAGGTTTCAGTCCTATGCCTGAATGCAGTCCTGTGTGACCTTGATGCATTTCACGTGCATTTTAAATTTGTGGTGTCAATATATTGTATATCTGGCTCATTAGATGTGACCTTGATGCATTTCACGTGCATTTTAAATTTGTCAATATATTGTATATCTGGTTCATTAGTATTCCATGTTTCTTTTCTGTTGAAAGTCAAATGGTCATCATTTCTTCTTACCCAATGGGCCTGCCTTGCTGAGTATAGATAAACCTTCGATAAAAATTTATTAAAGCTGATAAAGGTGACTGGAAGGAAAGGAGAGAGTATTCTGTAGTAGCAGTGACTCACTCAATGACTGGGTTGGGCTGACAAGCCTCTACTCATTGCCTCTGTCTCCCAGGGCTGGGC